ACGCTTGAACTACAAAATTTTGCTTTTAACTTCTAAATTTAAGATTAAATAATTTAAATAAATTATAATGGTAAAAAATATATATTTAAATTTTAAATTTAGAAATTTATAACTTTTATCATAACACATCTAATAACCTATATATTAGTTTTATCTTTAGATATTTGGATTCTAAATATAAGAAAGTAGGTCATTATAAAACCACAAAATAAAAATATATAATAATTTATGTAATTTTAAATTTTAAATGATATATATTAAAATAATATTATAATTATAAATTTTAAAATTATCAAGCTTTTAGTTTAGAGTATTTATAAGATAATTAAATTATCTTATAAGAATTGATGCAACTGACAAGAAAAAAAAATATATCATGTTAAAATTTATAGTAAAAAGTTTATAAATATCTTAATTCTATTGTTTGATTAAAAATCCTTAATTTGGATTAAATTATAATTTTTATATTTTAATATTAAATTATTTATAAAAAATTTTAATATCACCACAAGAATTTAAAATTCTATAAATAAAAAAAAGAAAAGGTTTTTCTACAAGTTTTTTCATAAAAAGATTTCAGATTGATATGGCAAAGAATTGATGCTAGAAAAAAAAATTGTTATGAGTAATAGAAGAAATAAGGTATATATAATCATTGAGTTGATGCAACTTTATACTTTATTAGAATGTCTGGAAAATTCTAACGACAACAAAATTAAATTAAATTAAATTAAAAACATAAGATTAATAGTTTAAATTTAAGATTTGGGATTTAGAATCTTTTAGATCCAAAGTATAAATAAAAATTAGTTTGAAATAGCTAATTTTAAAACCATATCGTGAAGAAATAGTAGCCTAAAATAAATATTTTACATCCATAAAATGATTTAAAAAACAACCTCAATTATAAATTTTATCAAAATTCTGGATCTTTCATCTTAGAGATTAAAATTCTAAATTTTAAATATAAAATAATATCAACTAAAAAATTAAAAATAACTATGTGAGCCAAAAGTCAGTTCTATATATCTATATAATTCAAATCCTTACTATCCACAAATCTAAGAAATTTTATAATAATTTAATAATATCTTAGGAATCTTAAATATTAAAATATTAAAATTAATAGAATTTAAAATTTCTGAAAACCATATATTTTTATAATCAATTGAAAACTTATAAAATAAAAATTTTCATATTTTCAAATCTAAGAGCTTACATATCATGCTATTTACAATACTAGAAATCTAAACCTTAAAGATGGATAGAACAAAAGACAACAAGTTCTTTTAAAGCCAAAAAATAAGGATGTAAGAAAATTGAAATATATATGCAAACTTAAATTTTAAATTTTAAATTCGAAAATTCTTTTTAAATTTAATTTAATTAAAATAAATAAATAAATAAACATAAAAAAATGAATATATAATATGATAATTTAACCTGCTCAAGTAATACTTAATTTTAGCTATATGATATAAAAATAACTTAGAATATCAAATCATGTCTAATAATGGACTATTCTATCCACTAACACAAGTTTTAAAATCCTAAATCTTAAACTTCTACATCATATATTTTGTAAAAAATATGATTTTATTTAATTTGTTTAACAATGAATCAAATTTGAAAACCAATGCATATTAAAAATAATCAAAGATGTGAGATTTTTCAATTTATTTGGTAATATTATCAAGCTTGAATACCCTCACATTTTTGACAATGTCAAAGATGTGAGATTGGACAATTCATTTGGTAATGGTATAAAGCTTGATTATTTCCACATACTTAAGGTAGTCAAAGATGTGAGGTTGATCAATTTATTTGGCAATGATGTCAATGTTGAGTACCTCTACTCATATAAAGCAATCAAAGATGTGAGATTATTCAATTCATTTGGCAATGATGTCAAACTCATACAACCATCTATATCTTAGGTTGTCAAAGATATGAGGTTGCTTAATTCATTTGGCAATAATATCAAACTTGAGCATCTTGATATATCAAAAATAGTCAAAGATGTAAGATCGTCTAATTCATTTAATAATGATTTCAAGCTTAAGAACCCTTACATTTTTAAGGTAGTCAAAGATGTGAGGTTGCTCAATTTATTTACTAATGATGTGAAGATTTTATACCATTTCATATCTAAAGTAGTCAAAGATATAAAATTATCCAATTCATTTGACAAATGATGTGAAGTTTATGCAACCATCTATATCTTAAGTTATCAAAGTTGTGAGGTTACTCAATTCATTTGGTAATAATGTCAAGCTTGAGTACTTTGATATATCAAAAATAGTCAAAGATGTAAGATTCTCTAATTTATATAATAATAATGTCAAGCTTAAGTACTTCTATATTTTTAAGGTAATTAAAGATAAGAGGTTGCTCAATTCATTTAGTAATAATGTGAAGATTTTGTATCATTTTATATTCAAAGTAGTCAAAGATGTAAAATTATCCAATTCATTTGATAATGATTTCAAGCATAAGTACCTTAATATATCTAAAGTAGTCAATAATATGAGGTTATTCAATGTATTTGGCAATAATATTAAGCTTGAGTACCATCTTATATCCAACATAGTCAAAGATGTAAGGTTCCTTAATTCATTTAGCTATGATGTCAAGCTTGAGTATTTCTACATATTTAAAGAAGTCAAAGGTGTAAAATTGCTCAATTCATTTGGCAATGACATCAAGCTTGAGTATTATCTTATATCCAAAGTAGTTAAAGATGTGAAGTTGCTTAATTTATTTGGCAATGATGTCAAGCTTGAGCATCCCTATATATTTAAAGAAGTCAAAGGTTTGAAATTCTTCAATTCATTTGGCAATGACTTCAAGCATCATCTTATATCCAAAGTTGTCAAAGATGTGAGGTTGTCTAATTCATTTGGCAATGATATCAAGATTAAATACCTTGCTATATCTAAAGTAGTCAAAAATGTCAAATTTCCCAATTCATTTGACAATGATGTCAAGCTTAAACACCATCTTATTTCCATAGTAGTTAAAGATGTAAGGTTGTTTAATCCATACAATAATGATGTCAAGCTTGAGCACCATCTTATATCCAAAGTAGTCAAAGATATGAAGTTACCTAATTCATTTGGCAATAATATCAACCTAAAACAACTATACATATTAAAGTTTTTCAAAGAATCCAAATTTCTTATTAACTTTGGTAATATTCTTAATTTCTTATAATATTTCAAATTAAACTTTTCAATAATGTCAATTTTTCTATTGTATTTGGTAACATCTCCAAATTAAAATATCTATCAAAATCAAGTTCTAATAGTATAGCCATTTAAAAAAATACCTTTGAAAATCTTTATGTAAAAATCTAATTCTTTAATTGCAAGACATTCAAAGTCTTAAATTTCGTCCAATCATCTTTGTTATTCAATATATATCTTGCTTTGTCTAATACTTGTTGTTGTACATTGTATGTAGATGATATATTTAATAGAAAATATTTTAAGTTCACAAAATTTCTTATCAAATCAAAAAATGTGTTTTACCTTCTTATATCATTTCTTGATATAAGATAACTAGTAAAGCTTAATAATTGAAGTGCTGAAAAAAAACCACTTCTAACTTCATTACACATATAATTTTTTACATTATTGTAATATAATCCCTTCACTTCTAAAACCAATGTAATTCTAGCATACAACAAGTTCAAAATTTCTATACAAGCAATATATTTTCTATATGTACAAAACTTTATAATAATGCAAATTAAATAAATTAATATATATCTTTGTATTAATATACACCTCGTAGATACAATAAAATCTAAACAATATTGTATGTCATATCTCCAAACTTCACATACAAATCTTTCTTATCATTTTTGATTCCATGCTTGCTATACAGATAACTATTAAGTACATTATCTTTTTTGAAATTCCATAAGATGCTTTAGCATTTATGTTCTACATTTGTATACTTGTATATTTCATTTTTATTTCAGTAATATGTTTCCCTATGTCTTTTAATTGATCATGCATTTTTATAATTCCATCTTTGTGTACTTTTATCAATGATTAATTTATCAATGTATCAAACATACATTCTATATCTTCTTCAAATATGTTTTCTTCATTGTCAGTTGATATTTACAATGTTCTTTTTTTCAACATACTTTCAAGATACACATTATTACAAAAGAAATAACATATGTCCAAAAACATATTCTTTTCTTCAACTTTCAAGTTTACAAAAGTTACTTTTAATATGTCCTAAATCTTATGGTTACTATTCTTTTCATATTCATCCAACCCTCTTTCCATTTTTAACTTTTACAAAGCTTGCTCTTAATATCTCAATCTCTTTTTTTTCTCTTAAGAATGCATCCATGACTTTCAAGACAATAGTAGGCCATTACAAGCTTTAATAATCTTTTTGCCAACTTCAATAAGCTCATGAAGAAACTTGTCTTACTATCCACAAGAATAAGTAATGAACAACTTCAAATTTATTTCTTCATCAAATTCTTGAACATTCACTTTACAAATTTCTATGGAACAATGCTCTATGGCTTTCCAATCTCAAGTTGTTATAATCAATGTGCTACCATTGTTGGCAAATAAATCATCTATTGATACAATATTTTCAATTTACCTTTGATTCTTCATATTGATAAATATTAAGATAAATTTTGTCAATAGTGATTTCAACATTTCTTGTACACCCTTCAAATCTTTTGATTTCTTATAACTTACACTTAATCCTTATATGTATTCTAATAACCTATTTCCAATCTATAATTATAATGCAAATTCTACTAAATTTAGAAATATTTTACAATTCTATTTCATCTTTAAACATAAATTATAGTCCTTAATCTTAAATGACTACCATCCTAATTTATCCTAATAAAGATCCTATTTTCTCCTCAAATCTCTCATTTTATTTCACAATAGAAGTTTGTTTATAAAATATAGTTGTCTATATAGGCGGCCTTGTAAGATACATGCAAAATCATATTCACTCCAATCCAAAAATCAAATCACATTACAAAATTATTGTTGATTTACTGAATTCGTCTAAACTAATATATAAAAAAAACCTCCATCCCTACAATTTCACAATTGAAGTGTTTTTCAAATTTTCCTTTTCAAATTTTCCTTGACAAAAAGAGAGGCTAGCCAATGAAAATAGAATGCACTTCCTCCCATATTACATCTATAATTCTATCAGTATCAAACTAAACATCCTCCCCCCAAATTGCATTGGAAGCTTATTGCTGGGTTGTTTAAGCACCATGAAATCTCATCCGTACTTTCGCAAGGACAAAAAATGAAACCGACAAAACACAACCAATAGCTACGATTGAAACATGGAACTCGCGAACTAGTCTCTTCATACTCGAAACCCTAGACCAACACGACGGACCATTCAGTCACAAGGCAGAGACGATCACAAGTGAATATCACAAAACACCAACTTCGTGGGTTAGGATGTACAAACAAATCCTAAAAAACAAGACGATGCTCCCACGTTTCCCACCACCATCTAGCGCGTCAAATGGGCTTCGAGCGGAAGCGCAACGTGAAGCACGCCAATAAATCCAGAGTACACACGAAGCTATTCGCTGCCAACACACAAAACAAACAAAACTCAACCCGGTAGCTGCCTAAAACAACAAAGTCGAAGAATCACCTAGTATAGAGCCAAGTACAGCTGCTGCTGCTCCACAACTTGACAAAGCAAGCCACCCTGCAACTTAACCCTGACTGCAAACCTGTACCGACACATGCAGGGAATCCAAGCTACTGTTTATCCGAACCCTCCAAGTAGACTTGATGTCATCAAAGCAGCTATGGATCACCTCGGCTCGAACGATGCTATCACCATAGAGAAGCGTCGTCACAGCATGTAAGCGAGAAGGCACAGAGCATTCAGCGAATGAAAGTGAGAAGTGGCTGAGAAGTAAGTAACTGAGAGAGTGAGACGAGGATAGGGTACTTCGGGCCAGACAGACACTTCGAGGACGAGGAGGAGGCTGTGTGTGGTTGGAAGGAATGGGTCATCCATCCCGAAGATAGATGGATAGATGGACGAGACACTTCAGATTCGTGCACCAACAACCACATTGTAATGTAAGCAGCAATCTAGTGGACTCCATCCATCCATCCTACCAGGACAAAAACAATTCATCCATCCAAGCCCTGCACCAAACATGACCTCGTTCTTCCATGTTCATAACGAGAGTATAGACCATCCACCAGGTCCCTGAAGAAGACGCTGCCCCTGCCAAACCCACTTCACAATCCCCCTCCAGCTTGAAACATGACTTGATAACTAGATACTCAGGAAATAATTTTTCATTCTTTCTTCCTCTATTCAATTTATCATGCCTTTTCTATAAACAACTGGAGTGGTGGTCTATGTTGCTCTTTCAAGACAAGCAAAACTTGAGTTATTCAGAAGTTTGTAAACTTCGGTAAGTCACTAACACTTCCATTCAACTAGGTTTGTGAAAGTTGGATGTTGTAAATTAGCGAGGCTCATAATACTAATTATCACCAGCTACGGTCCCTACCAGGACCATTTAATCATTACTTGGGCAAACGTAGTGTAATATAGGGCGATTAACTTAGCCTAAACAAATAAACAAACAAACAAAATCGATTTAAGAGAATGAAAAAATCAAAATAAATAAACAAGTGGCGGCAAGCAGAGCTGAGGGATGGTGCGGCCCTAGCTGGAATGTAACAGCTGATTACAATGCAACTAGAACCGACATTTACATTCTCATGTCCATTAGGCAAGACGAAGTGGCAGTAGCAAGCTTTAAGTGTCGGACAATATTATGAAGTATTGAGGAGGCTACGAAAGGTAGTCAAAAGAAAAGTGCACAAAAACTTGCACACAACAATAAATGACTTCACTACGTTGAATACAAAGCTACTCCTACCAAGACTGAAAAAAGATTTTTAGAGTACGCTCCCGAAAATGGAAGGGATATAAACTATGGTCATTGCCATGCAGAGAGGTATCGATACTACACAAGTGAGTAAGAATGACTTGATTTCAACGGACAAGCACAAACAACGGGAAAAAAAATCGGCATTCATCCAAGACTACTTAGCAGAGCAAGTCAAAACCAAGGCACAATACCAACATAATACCATCGCTGCTGACAAAGTGTTTCAATCAGCTGAGCAAGTGCAATACATTAAGTATACGCCTCAATAGAGCGTACATTGCAGAGACGACAATGTCGCAAAACACTAAAAATTCTCCTCAATCTAAACGTTAGGTGCAAATATCTCTCTGAAGTCTACACGACATTTCGATCATATATTACCACTGGTTTGATACTTGTTATGCTGCAAAACTTGAGAGGAAAATACAGACAAACTGACAGAGCCTCTGATCAAGGATGACGCAGTTGTATCAAGACTGCTAACACTACCCACAAAAAAAACCTAATCCCATTTCAAATACACAGAGTTGATGTTGACAGGTTTCTACTTAAAATCACCCCTCCAGTTCCTCAAATGACCACCTCGGGAAGATCCATTACAATAGAAACGCCAGTGTTTCCAAAGCTAGCAACCCTCACCAAACATTCCTAAGCTCCACACGTTAAGAGTATTATAGGACCTCCGATCACATGAAGATTAGCTCGACACAGTGCAGCTTCTGACAAAGACAAGCTATCGCAATCAATTCGCCCAAAACATGGATGTCGTGGAAAATCAACATAGAAAGTACACCCTACTACTTTACAATCAGTGACTTTGAGTACGAGTTTGCCATCACAATGCCTGTATTTCAACACATTGCGAGTCTGAATAGCAAATAAGCTCAAGGCTCTATATCTATCAAAACCCATCACTCAGAGACCACACGAGTTGTGAAACGAAAATTCCTACTCCACAGCTTCTATGAAACACAAACACACGCACACGCACATCCACAAACTGACTCAAACCTACAACGCCCCATCAATTCCTCTTTCTACAAAGCGTGATGGTGAGAACAAGGATATGGATATGGCCACAGGGTCGGAGCGGAAAAGCACGAGAGAGCATTCCTGAAACTCGTCCCAATTTTCAACGTACAGCATCGCTGCCTCCGATGACTGCTCGGGAGTTCCCTCACTCTCTCGCGCTCTCTCGCTCTCTCTCTCATGCTCTCTCTATCTCTCACGCTTTGTTATTCCTCCCCCTCTGCAGCAAGTGAATCTTTCTGAGCACATTCGCTTCCTGTTCTGGTGACAACAAGTCCCAGGAGACAGAGGAAGTGACAATGTGACGAAGAAGCGGCGATTGCGGGGATTGAAATTGCGAGAGAGACGGCCTGAGACGAGACGAAGGCTACAGCCTCATCTTCAGCGTCGAAGAGGTCATGGCAACAGAGATACGACGCAGTTATAGGGCTCCATCCTTGTATGGTGTGTGTAATGCCGCACTTTAAAGCGGTGATACGTCACTCTTCCGATTCCTTTCACGACGATTGTAATATAACATGGAATTAGAACACATCAAAAGATGATCACAGTGGCTCTCTTGAATGGTGCATTAACAATTGGTAGTATGTTTTAGAATTTGGAAATTCCTGGTACATAATTAAAATTTATTCAACAAAGAACATATTACTTTATATATATATATATATATATATATATATGTTTAAAAAACATACATTTGGTATATACTATAAAAATATTAATACTTTTGATATTTTGAAATCATGGTCTTTATTTAAAATATATATAATAAATATGTATATATAATATATTATTAATAATATAATATTAAATAATATAATATTAAATAATATAAATATAAAATTTTATGAAAGAAAATTTTAAAATTAAAATTCATATTAAATATAATTAATTAAAATTTTTAACTTTATTTACATTGATAGGAGAGACTTAAAATCTTGCACACAATCGTTTCTAACTGATTTAATACTTTGTATTATAAATCATAAAAAATGTCTTTTTATTTCATAACTTTATAATTTATTTAAGAATTTTTATTTTTAAATTTGTACTCTTTTATAATTATATTTTTATTAATAAAATAATAATTTAAATAAAATAATAAAAAAATATAATTGACTTATTAATTTATCAATATTATTGCTGTTTTTATTTATATCAAGATCTTTGATACACTGTCAAATTATAGTTTTAGATAATATAAATGTCAATAAATGGTGAAATTGGTATATCTTATTATTTATTTATCTAAAAATATTTCAAATCAACTCATAGAAATCCAAAATATTTTATCTACACTTTTAAATAAAAAAAAATATTATTTATATTACACCAATTTTTATGAAATATTTCAATAAAGTGAGTATATTTTCAAAGTCAAGTTCCACACTAAACTCAAAGCGATCTTTATACCTAGGAGTCTATTTTAAAAGGCCATAGTTTAAGAGCCTAATTAATCTCTATTGGTTGGTATAAAAAAATTGTATTTTGGAGGCCTGAATCTTTAGATATAGTATAAAGTGAGAAAAAGCAAAAAATTAAGGATAATATCAAATAAATCAATATAAATCTTAAATTGATCCATCTTTGATATTATTTGTCAAAGACATGAATCTCAAAGAAAGAAAATCCTTAATACACTCTTGTCTCACTAAAGTGAATTAGAAAGTCACTCAAAAGGTGATGTAATATTAAACTAAAATGACTATTGCCAAAAACAAGAAGACTGAAAAGTCTTAAAACAAGACTAAAGACTAGAAAGGTATTGACAAGAGTGAAGAAGGCTTCACTCTTGCCTCTATATATACTCTCTAATTAAGAGCTACGTGGCAATATTCTATAGGACCTCCAACATGTGTTGACTTTGCTAATCACATGTTTTAATTTACAAGGCAAGTTATCTATGTATGCGCAATATAGTTAGCTTATTTTACAAGTTACTATATGGAGTTAACTTGTTCCACAAGTTACCAACACGTGGTACAGTTGTTGGCTAAATTTCTAACCTATAAATAAATCTAAAGTCAAAACCACATCTATAAAGCTTCTCAAAAGCTTGTCTAGAAGACTTTATGAAATCAATCTATATTTACATACTTCTATCCAATCATATAAGTAACTATTGAGGTAAATATATATGTCCGTGACATTATTCTTCTTTCTAGGAACGAGTTCCATGAAGAGCGGTCATCATCTTTCATAGATCTTTACAATTCTTTATTTTGGTTTTCATAGATGTCGTCGATGAAAGGCCTCAACCTTCTTTGTTGCATTTGCGAGATTCTTTGTTGCCTTCCATGAGCATTTGCTAATATCATATCCATGCCAATGAATAAGATATTCTAACCTATTTTGGCACCACCTTAAATCTAAGACTTTTCTATCTCGAACTCTTGATTATTATCCACTTCTACAAAAGGAAGTGGCATTTGTCTTCTTCCCGAGATATTTACTATCTTATACGACTCAAGAAGGTATATGTAAAATATAAGGTAGATCTTTATAGACTCTAATAGATGTAATCAATAAGTAATAGGATTGATTTGTGCACAAATAGAAAAAGGTCTCAATTTACAATAATCCAACTTATCACAAGGATGAATAGTCTTGATATTGCGATGAAGTAATCATACCTTATGACTTATGTTGAATTGTGGTTGTTCCTTACAATAGGAATTGACATTGGTCTTTTGTCATTCTTGAGATTCCTTTGATTGTGTCTTCATTGTTGCATGTAACTTTGATAAATAATTTGCTAAATCTTCCCCCCCAGGATTATCAACTTTTGAAAAGTGAAAAGTATCAATTTATGAATGATAATCATAATTGGAAAAAAAAGATGTTTTTTGAATAAAAGAATGTATCAAATTATTGTATGTAAACTCTACCAATGGCAAAAGAGTTGTCCAATCATCTTGATGATAGTTGGTGGTACACTTCAAATAGTGCTCCAAAACTTGATTTACTCGTTTTATTTGTCTATCAGTTTGAGGATGAAAAGTCAAAGAAAGCTTTATATCCACCTTTAAAATCTTGAATAGGATTATCTAAAATCTTGATACAAATTGAGTCTCCCTATCTAATATAATATCCTTTGGCAATCCATGATAGTAATAGATATTGTCAAGGAAAAGCTTAGCTCTTTCTTTACTTGAAACAAATTTTTATACATACTACAAAATGTTCCATTTTGATGAACCGATCTATGATTATGACTATAGAATCATATGAACTTGAACTTAGAAGATGTATAATAAAATCCATAGAAATGGAAGACCATAGTTCTTCAGGTATAGGCAAGGGTTGGACAAGTCCATAAGTTCAATGACGAGGATTTTTTGATCTTAAACAAATGTCATAAGTTTGGACAAAGTCTTTTACTGTCTTCTATATTTTAGGCCACTAAAAATCTCTCGATATAAGGTCTAAAGTGTTGTTGTATCCAAAATATCATGTTGTTAAAAAGTCGTAACATGCTTGAAGAACATGTAAACATGCTTCTCTTTTTGGAACAAATAGTCTTTCTTCAAAATAGAATAGGATGTTCTTGAACTTGAATTTTGAAACATCATGAAACTTAAAAGAAAGATTCTTAATATCATGAATAAGAAGATCAAAAGACATATTTGATTAAATTTATTTGATAAAGATCAAATCAACAGTCAATGTTGATTTTATTGCTTGAAGATGAAAATGCTGTCACTTCAAGAGGATTATTCTTTGTTAATTAAAAGATATGTTTTTTTTCTTTTGGTGCAAGATAAGAGCATCTAAAAAGAGCATTTGATAAATTTTATTATTTTTCAAGTTGATATGTAATCTTGAAATCAAATTTTAATAATGACATGTTCCAACGAGCTTGGCAACTATTCAAAATACATGCCGACATGAAATACTCTAGGATCTTATAATCTATATATACTATGATCGGACTTGAAGCACCTTCTAGATAATGACACCATTCTTAAAATGAATTCACAATTACAAGAAGTTCTTTGTTTTGGATTTCATAGTTAATCTCGATTGCTGGAAATTTCATGGAATAGAAAGCTATTGAATAGAGTTTGTGATCTGTTTCCATTTGTGACAATACTACATCCAAGGCAAAGTCTGATGCATCTATTTCCGTAAAGAATGCTTTAAAAAAGTCGACACAATACAAAGTTGGTGCAAAAATAAATTACTTTTTTAAAACAACAAACAATGCTTTGACTTCTTTATTCCACTCAAGTTTGTCTTTACAAGTCAAACTTATAAGTGGAGTTGCAACTTGAAAAAATTTCTTGATAAAGATTCAGTAATAATTGACAAAGCCCAAAAAACATTGCACATCTCATATTGTTTTTAGAATCTTCCAATCTATGATAGTTTGGACCTTCTTTGGATCTATCATAAGGCATTCATTAGAAATGATGTATTCCAAAAAGTCAACTTAAGTAGTGTGGATTAAAGATAGATTACATACTTTTTCATCTTTGCATATAATCATGCATCTCTTAGTTTTTATAACACACAACAAACATGAATTTCATACTCTTCTATATTCTTAGAATAGATTAAAATATTGTCTAAATAATAGACAACAAAATCATTAAGAAAATCATGAATGACATCATTCATAACATGTTGAAAAGTAGTTGGTTCATTTGTGACTGCAAAAGGCATGACATTATATTCAAAATATCCATATCTAGTTTGAAAAGTAGTCTTCTATTCATCTCCTTCTTTGATACGAACTAAGTTGTATATTCCTCGTAAATCTATTTTGGAATAGATCTTTGTTTGATTGAGTTGATCAAGAAGTCCTGAAATCAATGGCAAAATATTTATTCTTGATGGTGATCTTATTGAGTCCTCAATAATCCACACACATCCACAAAGATCTATCTTTTTTCTTCACAAATAAGATAGGAGTCCCAACTGGAAATTTAGAATGATATATAAAGTTCTTAGCTAAGTTTTCATCAATGTACTCTTTGAATGTAGCCAACTCATTTTGTAATAGGCTATAAATTGGTCCAAATGGTAGTTGAGTTCTTTCTTAAAGATCAATAATAAAATCATAAGGATGATGCTTTGAAAGAATATCTATATTTTTTAGTTCAAAAATATCTTGAAAATCTTGATACTAGCTAGAAATACCACTTGATATCTTTTCACCATCAATAATGGGCATGGCATATATAACAATAGATGGCCCTTTATTTGCGATATGTATGAAAGCTCTCGCACCTACTAATAAGGGTTTGGATATACTAGACTTATGGATTTCTACTTGCTTAGCAAGACCTTGAACTAAATTATGGAAGAAATCAAGATTGCAAGAAATCCAATCTATTTGAGGGTTATACCTTTCTAACCACGATAATTCTAAAATGATTGGATTAAAAAGAGATTTAATCATATTAAATATTATTAAACTATTGTGACAACTAGTTGCTACTTCTACAAGAATAGTTTCATGTGTAACATCTCGAGAAGTCAATAAACATCCATCTATTATTTCTACATGTAAGGATTTGATTTTCTTAACTAAAGATATATCTTATTTTTGACATAGTCTTCATCTATAAAATAAGTTAGGGCTCTTGAATCCAACAAGGCTAAGACTTTGTGATTTTTCGGTCCTAAACAAACATCTATTACAAAACAAGGTTAGGGATCAGAGGAAAGAATATGACCTTTGCTAGATGTTGCATATGATTCCACTCCCACAATCCCTATTGTAGCTGGAGTAATTCATTTTTTGACACATTGTCTTCTTTGGTAATTTTGCTTTTCATTTTGTAATTACATTGTTTCTTTAGATAATATTAAGCAGTATGTTTAGCTTCTCCATAATATAAGTATAAGCCCTTTTGACATCGTTGAGTCTTTTCATGCTCTATGAGGGATTTAAAATGGTGGTTGGCCATGATCCTTGCCGTAAAGATAAAAGCTTGGTCTTTGCTACTCTTTCTCAATCATTGTATCCAAATGTGATCGTAAACACTTTTAAGAATGAATTCAAGTCATAGAAGAGTCACAAATCTTTTTCTATTAAAGATGCAAATCAAAAGATAGCACTTCCTGATAGAAGTGCGCTTATGAATCTAACTTGAGTAAATCCATTGAGGTATTGGAAACGATGCAACCTTAGATAGAACTTGACTTGTTGCAAAAATCTTAAAAATTTTGATCTTGCTCTATCAAACTTCCTAGGCATACTAATCCTTGTCCCCATCATACTTGTAGAAGCAAAACTCCTTAGATTTGGTTGTGAGGTCAATTTGCTTACTTCTTTCAACTGCACAACTTTTTGTTGCAGACTCTAAACTTCTTCTATAGGCGTAGGCATAATACTTCCATAATTCACATTAGAAATATGTGAGACTTCTACTCTTAAAGTATTAATAAGCTCATGAAGATCTGCAATAGTTACAAATCTATTCTTTTTTTCGCTAAGAGTAGCATCCATGATCTTTCCTTCTATAGACAATTCAAACAAATTTAAAAAGTAAAATTAGAAGAAGGTAATCTCCAATCTCTAATAAAATTTTCCATAAAGAGGGATAATCTACTCTCTTTAAGGAAAGATCAATGTTAGAAAATAAGATTTTTTTATTTAAAAGGTGGATAGTTTGCAACCTTCAAAACACAACAATAGAAGTGGGATAATCTACTCACTTCTAAAACAAAATAAAAACAGTATGTTAGCACTCTTGACAAACTATCAAGGACATAAACCTCAAAAAAAGAGAATCCTTGATACATTCTTGTATCACTGAAGAAAACTAGAAAGTCACTCAAAAGGTAATGTAATATTAATTAGAATGACTATTACCAAAAATAAGAAGATTAAAAAGTCTTGAAATAAGAATAAGAACTAGAACGACGTTGACAAGAGTGAAGAAGGCTTCACTCTTGCCTCTATATATACTCTTAATTAGGAGCTACATAGCGAAGTCCTATAGGACCTCCAAAACATGTTGACTTTGTTAGTCACATGTCTTAACTTGCAAGGCAAGTTATCTATATATGTGCCACATGGTTAGCTTGTTCTACAAGCTACCAACACGTGGTTAACTTGTTGGCCAAGTTTCTAATCTACAAACACATCTAAAGTCAAAACTGCGTTTACAAAGCTTCTAGAAAGCTCCACTAAAAGACTTTATGAAATCAATCTATATTTACCTACTTCTATCCAATCATATAAGTAACTATTGAATTAAATGTATATATTTGTGATACTACCAACACATGGTTAAGTTGTTGGTCAAGTTTATAACCTACAAACACATCTAAAGTCAAAATTGCATCTATGAAGCTTCTAGGAAGCTAGTCTAGAAGACTTTATGAAATCAATCTATATTTACCTACTTCTATTCAATCATATAAGTAATTATTGAGATAAATGTATATGTCTATGACATTATCCTCTTGTATCATGCCTTGAACATCTAGTCTATTTACTCATTCGCTCTCTTCAATGAAATCACACAAAAAAAATTAAAAAAAAATCTTAATTGATCCAACTACTTATTGCGCACTCATCATGCATACAAAATACAATTATAAATAAAAAATCAAAATTCTTGAGATACAAAATTGAAAGACCTTTGAAAAAAGATGACACTTTTCAAATTGGTAAGAAATATTTAAAAGATTTAAAAGCCATCATCTCTTACTTTGTCTCCTAACTATCAATTTAAGTATCAAGAATCCATAAATTTATTGGAACTCTTTACAAAAAAAACAACAACTAGCTTCAATGCCAAATTCATGTACACTTGATGTTGTGGACATTTCTTTAGGGATGATGCACTTGATGTTGTGGACATTTCTTTAGGGATGATGCACATAAATGAGAGCAATACTATTGATGGTGATAAAAAGGTGAATCTGCTGGAAAAATTCTAATGCATGTTGAAACTTAAATCTCTGCATTGCTTAAACATGTTCGGAGATGAGTGGACTGCCTTTGCGCTTGAAGTTTCTATGAGCGGTAATCTAGTAATCTTGGTCGGGGTTATCGATGCCATCACCAATCTCAGTTAGGGCTCAATGGACGTGAAGTTGATAACCTTCTTCGCTACACCAACTTTAGATGATTGTATATAATCGACGTATAGTGTAACACTCTAAGCAAATATGAGCCAACGCAGTTGAAATTCTAAACCATGAACAAGATAAACAATACAAGCCTGTAATGAAATTATTCCTCTAATCAAAGAGGAGCGTAAACAGCAATCCAATGCTCACGTGGACATCAATAACCTCTGATCATGATAAGGGACTACGTCAGCTCTAATCTCTGCAGCGCATCTTATTATCGGAACATTCCCGTTATGCAGCCCTAACTCCTATTTCATTGACCCCAAAAACCATACCCAAACGCCTTTTGCAAAGGCTGAGTAGAACATAAACGAGCTACTCGTCAGCACTAAAGGAATGTTGTGGTTGGTTAGGGGAGTCACTGGCCTACCAACGAGATGAGAAACCTGGACCTCTCCCCCGACTGCCAAATACATCTCTTCTCTCTGTGTGTCTCATTCTCTCGGAAACTGAACCTGTTCATCCTACCTCGTCCCTCAGTTACCACTAACCCCAACCAACAAGAAGCAGATTTCTGCTTCAAGAGACGGGTTACACTGTCGCCATTACGAATTTATGTGGATTTGATGAGCCGTAAATCCACTTACTAAAGGTTGTGTCTTAGTACTGGTTATGCATGGCCTAGCCGCACTATTGAAAACCTACTCCGATCAGAGTTTGAGACATTCCGAGCACAAGGCATTAAGGGCAGGCATGTACAGGCCTAGGGAGTATATCAGATATCGGACCTGTGGAGAATCCATTGCTTGCACTTTCAAGTTTCAGTATGAGGCCTCTACTTTGTACCTCTCTGAAATAATTAAAGCAACTCGTGATCAGACAAGAATATTTAGAGAAATGTCTCGAAGCGCCTACTGTTAAGTCTACATGATTAAAGCTACGACGCAAAAGGTTTAGGGCTGCGGACGTTTCTTACACATCCAAGTAACTTCAACAATCAAACTTCGCATATGAAAGACACTGCTTATTCAAAAACCACTGACTTCTGAAATCCAAACCTCATGTACATTCTCAATTCAAATTGGGGTAACATTCCAGTACCTAAGAATGCCAAAGCAGCTACAATTGAACAGCAACAGAGATGACATATTTCACAGAAACCTACGGTCAACTCCGAAACAAGTATCCTACCCCGCTGCGAACACCAGAAGATTCTGAAGCAAGGCAACACTGATGCCACAGTCCAAGGCCACCTCCTCTCGAGCTACCACAGAATAATGCCAACCATAGCAACCCCGCCAGCTCCACTGCTACGAGACACTTGTAAAAAGCCATAAAAAGAACACAATGATCTACAGAACACCGCTACAACCCGCGGCATCACTCCCAACTAGCGCATGAATGGAACAAAAGGCACCCCCAAGGACCCAGTGAGGAAGGGTTTAGATATTCTAACAACCTCATCCATTTCTTTCACATTTCTGTATCCTACGCTAGTGTAGGCGCCAGTGTAGATTCCAAAGAACAAAAAGCACACAACTTAGATTACAAAACATGAGACCACAAATGACAACCACAATTAGAAAATGTCAGTCATGGGAAATGGGGAACAGAAGCCAAAACCACACAGAGATAAAGAGAGCAAGATTGGATCCTTCACGATGAGTTGCAATCCAAAATCAAGCACAGAACCCAGAGCAAATCCAATCAGCACCCAACAACGCCGAGAGACCAAAACTGGGTAAGACGCACTTTATTATACATGCACAGTCTTGCACAACTCTTGGCCCTGATACGGGTTCCGAAGCAGCTGCTCCCCTGGCTTCAACAAGGAATGGAAAGTATTTTACAGCTTTCAAGGTACTATTACACCTTGATCCGGATATATATATATATATATATATATATATATATGCTAACTCAAGAATGCTTCTGCTCGTGAGACCCAATTGTGAGCTGCTCGCCTGTGATGGCCGCCCTGTCGTTCAACAGCTTCTTCGCAATCTTGTACCACTCGGTGTGGTAAGCATCGTTCATGTCAACACGCTCGTAAGTGTGAGAGCCGAAGTAGTCACGCTGAGATTGGACCAAGTTTGCAGGAAGCCGAGCTCGTCTGTAGGTGTCGAAGTATGCAAGGCTTGCACTCATTCCGGGTGTGCTCACCCCCACCTCGATCGCCAGAGACACCACTTTCCTCCATGCGCTTTGTCTCTCCACCATCTCCTTGGCGAACTCGGGGTCTATCAACAAGCTCGCTAACTTAGGGTTTCTGTCGTAGGCTTGCTTGATGCGGTCCAGGAACTTGGCTCGGATAATGCACCCACCCTTCCAGATTCGGGCCAGCTCTCCCAGGTCCAAATTCCAACCCTTCTCAGCACTCTTGGCACGGATGAGATTCATGCCTTGGGCATAGCTGCAGATCTTTGACGCATACAGGGCCTTGCGAACGTTGTCAATGAGCTCCTGTTTGTCTACTTTTACCTCGGTTAGTAGGTCACTGACTCCCAATGATTTGAACACTTTGGACGCTTCCACTCGTTCCTCTTTCAAACCTGAAGAACACATTGCAGTGACCAATGCCATTACTAACAGTATTGCGAAAATAATGCCAAATCCACATGATTCATTAGCGATAGCCAATAGGGCCAAGGGGCGTAAGAATGTGAACTCAAGGTCATCAGTGAATTTTACAGCATGTGCAAAAAAGAATCAAGCCCTGCTGATAGACAAACAATCCCACGGGTAAAGAGAAACTCCACCACTCGCGTTGACATAAGAGTTCAAAAAATAACGTAACCAATCTCTTTCACAAAACTAGACGCTAAGGGAAGGGGGAAAGGAAAGAAGAGGATTGTAAAGTACACCGTGTCTAACCTGAAAGAAATCGCAAGTCCAAAGACGTCGCAACAGTGGGACAAGCCACGGACAGTTCTGCAGCCTGCTGCACGGTCCACTTCCCTGTTCCCTTCATGCCCGTTTTGTCCAACACCTTATCAACGAGTTCACCTTCAGCCTTATCGTCCGGCACGGAGAAAATGTCAGCCGTAATTTCGACTAAAAAGCTCTCAAGCTCTCCCTTGTTCCATTCGAAGAAAGTCTCGTGCAGCTCCTTGTTCGACAGCCCACCGACAGATTTAAGCACATCGTACGCCTCGGCGATGAGCTCCATGTCCCCATATTCGATCCCATTGTGAACCATCTTCACGAAATTTCCAGCCCCACCAGGACCAACATAGGTCACACATGGGCCACTATCGACTTGCGCAGCCACCTTCTGCACAATATCCTCAATGTATTTATAAGCTTCCAGGGTGCCTCCAGGCATGAGAGAAGGCCCGTGCCGAGCGCCCTCCTCACCTCCACTAACGCCCATTCCCAAGTATAGCAGTCCCTTCGCCTTCACGGTCTCCGCCCTACGCTCCGTGTTCTCATACCACTCATTCCCCCCATCGATGATACAATCTCCTTCCTCCAGATACTTCGACAAGAGCTCGATCGTCTGATCTACTGGCGACCCTGCCTTGACCAAAATGATAACGCATCGCGGCTTCTGGATCGAATTCACAAACTCGGCCGGATCTTTGAATCCCTTCACAGGCAAGTTCCCTTCCTCCTTAGCACGCTCCACGGTCTCGTCCACCTTGTTAGCCGAGCGATTATACACAGAGATCGGGAACCCCTTCTGCGCAATGTTCAGCGCCAGGTTCTGGCCCATCACAGCCAGCCCCGCCAACCCAATGCGCGATAATCCATCAGAAGCCATCTCCTCCAAAACCCAACACCCAAACCACGCCCAATCACCCGGAAAATATCTCCAACAGCAACTACACAACACACAGATACAACACTCTCAGAACTCCACACCGATGGTCGTCAGAATGGGAAATTATCGACCTCTGGGCGCCTTTCTATGGACGGGCAAACACAGGAAGATCTAGAGTGACGAGTCGGACCTTGCCTAGCAAGCCGAGGCATTCAATACTGTAATCCTCCCTGTCACTCGTCCGTCGCCACGCCATCGCCGCACGTGTTCTTTGCCTCCGGGCTTGCAACCTCGCGAGCTCGCTCCGTGCCTCCTTCGCATTTTTCTCCCCACGCTACTCGCTGCCCGCTATCTGAAAAAGTAAATCACCTACGGGTAAACGTCAACAGGAACGGGCGCGACTCCGTTGGCGGCTCAACTGGGAACCTCTCCCCTTTTATCGTGGATATCATTCATCCATTTCAGTAATTCATTCGTTCGAGACACATTCACAGCTCGTGATTGTGGTCAACGGGTCATGGTCGTTGTTGGCAAAGGACGTGAGTGAAAGTGGGTGCCCTAATAATTGTTGGTTTTAGGGTTTGGATGGAATTACTACATTTTTCATCCATTATTGTTGAGGGGGTGTCATCCATGGTGATTGTCATTCGTTTGTTCCTAATGTCTGGTGAGTTGGGGTCTGATTTGCTCACCCTTAAGTTAGGCCTGCTTGTCACCCTTAAGTTAGTGATTTTTTTTAATAAACAGCTTTAAAGCAATGAAAATAACAAAAAACTAACCGTCAAAGGTTTCATGACCACAAAAAAATGGGTTGATGCTGATAATTTAGTTGATGAATTCTTTTGTTTAGAAAGATAATTAGAAATGTAAGCCTTCAATGTTAATGGCATGCAATGCAAGAATTATTTAAGTCTTTGATACGGATTTTCACAATAAATAAATTTTTATGTCGTTTTCTTTAATATGTATACATTTTTAACTTTCAAAAAATTATATGTGTTGTATAAATCTTTTTATAAAGACTTATAAATTAATTCATTTCTAACTTAATTATTTTTATGATACATATATATATATATATATATATATATATACATATATGTAAGTAACTTTTAGCCAGATTTAGATTTAGAACTTGGCTGTTCTATACAAAATAAAATAATAAACACCTTAATTATGGTTATTCAATAGATTTATTGTAGAATTTAACAGTTCATGATAGATCCAAAATATTCATATTTAAATTTTAACGTACACATATAGAATAAGAATACATTAGAAATCTAACTTGCATGTCATAATTGAGAATTAGTCCTACATGGATTATCATGCAAAAAATTGGAGTTAAAGATGTATCTAAGAACCTATCTTGTTTATGTTATTCAATAGACTATAAACTTATTGCACAATTTTATAGTGGCTTGAATTACACAATGCTGTATGACATGATGTTATAATATAATTGTAATTTTTTTTTGTCTTAAGTCATAATTTTCTAAAATTAATAAATTGCTATATTTAATTATTGAATTATTCAACTTTCTTCTTTTTCTTTTCTTTTACTTTATTATATATTCATAAACTTAAATATGAAGAGAAAATGCTTTAGTTTATATGATTTTTAACTAAATTTTAAAAATACCAATTTTTTTTGTTTTTTAAAGTATTTTTATATCTTATTATAAAAAATCACTTTAATAAGTTTAAAAATTAAGAAGTATATATATATATATATATATATATATATATAGATAATTTATCAAAATTTATCTAAAAACATATTATTTATAACAACTTTTTAAAATTTCTTGTAATACAAAAATCAAATATAGTTTTAAATCTTATGTACACTCATTGGAATTATAATTTTATGAATGCATTACAAAAGCGGAATAATGAATGAATAGCTAAATAAAAAATAAAAAACCAACAATAGTAATTATGTTATTTTTTAAAAATATATTCTTTGTAGGACCTTAAATATATAACATCCTCATTTGATAGCTACTGAAATACTTGTTTTTATAGTGATTTTTGAAAAGCATATAATGCAATTTTAATTGAATTTTTGACATATCAAGCCTCTTATTTATACAAAAAAATATTTCTTTTTGAATACATATAACCTTTTGATTAAAATATCAAATAGAATTTTATGCAATTTTAAAATTTCTTTGATTATAATTTTATATTTTCACGTCTTATTTTAAAAGTCTGTTCTAAAATATTACAAGTAAAATATAAAAATAAATTATAATATTCTTAATTTTTTATTATATGAATCTTTAAGCATTTGTTCCACCACATATTTTATACAAATATATACAAGTTAATTAATAAATAATTGAAATGGCCAAATTTTCTTATATTATATATGAGTATATCTAATGAATGTTTAGAAGGCCTCATCAATACCAAAATTGGCCTCTTTTTAAATCTTTATTTAATTCAAATAGTTATATGATTTGTGAAAGTGTTAATTTTATTCTTAAGTAACTACCATTTTTGTCTTAAACAACAAAAATTTAAATTTAACTATCAACTTAGTTATTATTTTGGAATCTCAAATCAATAAAATAAATAAATTATATTAAATTAAATATACATATATTTAATATAAATATTAATATTTTATATGAATCTAATTTTGTAATATGCATTAAAATATTTTGATCAATGCAATGCTTTCTATATCTTCACTCATTATATTTTAGCTTACAAACTAATATTTATTTTATTAATCTCAAAATATTTTATTATTTCAATTTACTTGTTTTTTTTGAAACTATAATAATTTCTAATAAAAATTATACCTATTGATTTTAATCTTTAAAATTTCTTACTAAAAAAGCTATTCATATTAAAAAGTTGAATTAAAATAAATGATCACATTAGAATCTTTTTAAATTTTTATCATCAAGATTAGGTTAAAATTATAATTTATAAGAAGTTATCACTAGTAATAAAAGTTAGGAGAGGGATGGCAACAACAAAAAAAAGAATGTAAAGATTTTAGGTATACAAAAAGAATTCTTTTCTATTACACCTTTCTATTGTTCACCATTCTTTTGCTTCCTATTTAATATCTTCATATACAACTATGCCACCCAAAAATCTATTTGTACCAAATGTTTTGCTTCCTATTCAATATCTTCATATACAACTATGCCACCCAAAAATCTATTTGTACCAAATTCATTGATATTATATGTATTATACTTTGAAATCTTAAAAAAAAAAAAAAAAAAAAAAAAAAAAAATCTCCAAATAATATAGAATGACCTTGTCAATTCATTATCAAACACCTATAGCATGAAGGTGGCGCAAAGCACCATTTTACATACCTTGCAACATACCAATGAGTTGTCATATTTTGAAGTAAGTGGTAGCAATATTAGGATTAAAATCCACTAGTGGCCTTTGTATAATAGTGTGGAAAAAGCTCTCACTAAATATATCAATATCAACTAGGATCATATTAATACAAGAAATAAATTTATTAAAAAAAATTACTTGTGGTTCTATGACAATTATAACTTAAAATGAAGTTTGATTTTTTAAATAGTTAATTTAAGAATTTCAAAAAATAGGAGGGATTTAAACTTTGCTTTTTTAGATGCTATTTCACTTGTAAAGTATTTCGTGATATTTCAAAATATCACTTAATATTTCACCAAATCACCCACCTTGCAAGGTAGATGATTTTGAAATCAAAATATCTAAAGAAAAGCAGATAAAATATTAAAAATTATATTTCTTTTTTAAATCACAAAAATATCAAGTGATACTTCAAAAATTTAAAGATAATAATAAAGTTTGAATAGTGATATTTTGAATTTGATATTTTAAATGATCCTAGAAATATCAAGTGCTAAATATAATTATTTGGTTTTTCAAAAGTTTCAAATTCAAATCCCCCTAATGTAATAACATTTGATGTTGGTAAGATGCAATTAATTGAAGAATACATCTTATCAAGTCACATTATTTTGAGCTGTTACAAGTAAAAAGATATTTATAATATAGATAAGATTGGCATGTTCTACCAAATGCAAGTTAAAAATTTCTTTGTAATAAATTAACTTAAAGGAAAAAAATAAAATAAAGATTCCATCATAGTTATTAAATACTATAATAATGATAGTCTCCAAATATTGCTCTTGATAATTGGCAAATATTTCAACTTGTGCTACTTCAAAAACATCAAACATGATAATTTAGGATGCATTTACAACACCAATAAAAATATATTAAAGGTACAAAATTTCTTCAAATTATGACTTTTAGAATTCAATTAAGACATGAATAGATGCAAGATTCTTCTTATTTTTGACAATTATAATGTACACATCTAAATTAATGATTTCATTGAGTATAATATTATTCTTTATAATTCAAATATATATTATTTATTTTGTAACTTAACATTAAGAATTTAATCTAGATACTCAAATCATTTAGAATTTCAAGTCATATCATCCAAAATACTTTACTTAATACTTTCTAGAGTAGATTGACCAACATGTCTAAGATTTTAAGAAAAGCTTTATTCTTAAAGGCATTCAAATGGTTGTAGCAATATAGTGATTTGATCTAAAATTAATAAAAATTACAAATTGCTTTGCATATTATAACTTTTGTAGCAACTCAATGTTAGATGGATGTGTTGTTAGTGCAAATATTGAGCCTCTTGCGAATGTGATCAAAGAGCATTGTAATCAAATACAAAGGCTTTACTTTAATATATGCATGGACATTAAAAACTTGTTCAATCATCTTAGAGAAGTTAAAATTAACTTCATTCTAATAGACTATAAAAAATAAAAATAAAATAAAAAATAAAATAAAATAAAACTTGAAAACAAAAACAAATAACAACAAAGATGATAACAACAAGGAGATGCCAAAGATGTTAATGTATAAGGTTGTCAAGCTTATTGATTAATTGCAAATATTCTAATTATAAAAAATTGATTGCAGCTAAATTTTTCAACTTTTCAATCAATTATTGATATCTAGAGAAGGTTGTTATAAATCAAGATTGAAATCAGACCTCAAGGCACAAAGTTGTGTATCTACAACAAATATAAACATCTTTAATTGATTAAAAAACTAGATTTAAGAGCAAATTAAAAAGAGACTCTTTGGACATTGATTTTGAGTGACTTTGTAAAGACTTTGCAAAGTTAAGTTTGTTTTG